TTGAGATGAAAAGCAGACTGCGGAGAGGCAGATTTGTAATGCTTGGCAAGATCAGGACTGTTAGGCTTAAAGGTTGTCGGTGGTGCTGTGCCCCAATCAAATCTTCCTATACTTTGTTCCTCCAGCTCCGCTGGAAGGCTTATTGTCCCGTTGATAGGTTCGTGAACTGCATCATCAGGTTTGGACTCCTCAATGGTCACAAAGTTCAAAAGAGAGCTCTTCGGCGATTTCCTTTTCTTCCTTTTCTTTTTCTTGTTTTGCTTGTTCTCCTGATTGGGAGACATCCACTCAGCACCTTGCTTGCTCCTCTGGGCGGCTTTGAATCTGGATGCATGTCGACAGCGAACGAGAACCGTGACAAATATCACCACTATGACAACCATGGCACCTGCCACAATGGCGATCATGATCGTGAGATAGTCCTCATTTTGGTAGGGTTGGCTACTGTCTCCTATGGTCCGGTCCAAAGGTGTTTCCATAGTCCTGCGTATCAAGTCATAAATATAAGAGGCATTTCCAGCAGTATCATTTACATACAAAAATACAAGCACAAGAGTATGCAGGGATTTGGGATAACCCAGGTCACTTATGTTGACAACTAAGCGATGCAGCCCCACATCATTAGGAGTTGGTTTTTCTTCCAGAGTGATATTACCTGTCACTGGATCAATCCGAAACAAACCCTTGTTATTTCCACTTACGATCGTGTACTTAAGCTCGGCGTTCATTCCAGTGTCTATATCCACAGCAAAGACTTCAGCTACCACCGATCCTGGAATTGCTGAGAGTGGCACTAGCTTAAAAGAAGTATTAGAAGGTGGGTAGATGACAACAGGGCTGTTATCGTTAACATCCATGACGTTTATAGTTACTTTCGCTGTAGAAGAGCGAGGAGGTTGCCCTCCATCTACTGCCTTAACATCAAAGGTATAGGAGCTCTGTTGCTCTCGATCAAAAGAAACATTGGACTTTATAACTCCAGAGTATGGATCCAGCACAAAGTTTTCATTGTCATTCAGGATAGAAAGGGTCACTGCTTTATTTTCCCCAGCATCAGCATCGGTCACCGTGATCACCCCCACCGTGCTATACTTTGGTAAGTTCTCAGATACGAAAAACTGGAAGTGATTATGAGTAAATTTGGGACTGTTGTCATTTTCGTCCAAGACAGTAACAATTACAGCTGCTTGACTCTGCAAAGGAGGGGTGCCATTGTCTCGGGCTGTAACAGTGAAAATGAAACGTTCCTGCTCTTCTCTGTCAAAAACTCTGGAGGCTGTCAAAACTCCCGTCTTTCGATCCAGATCGAAAAAGGAGGCATTAGGGCCAAGCTGATAAACAATGTCTGCATTTTTCCCACTGTCTTCATCTGTGGCACTAATAGTTGTTAAGTATAGACCACGAGGGTTGTTTTCAGAAACTGACAGCTCAATTACAGGCTGGCTGAAAATCGGAGGGTTGTCATTTTCATCCTCCAGTTTAACTCTTACCAGGGCAGTCTGGTTCAAACTGGGCTTGCCAGAATCAGAAGCAACAATTTTAAAGCTGAATTCTTTGGTGCCCTCATAGTCCAACAAGGAAGAGGTCTCTAGCAAATACTGGTTGTCGTAAACCGCCTTCAAGTGGAAGGGGACCTCTCTCTCAATGAAACATATCACTTTGCCATTCACATCAGTGTCCTTATCTGAAACTGTAATTAGGGCAATCTTTGTATTGATGGGATCTTTCTCAGATAAGTACACTGTGCCATTGATGGGACTTATTATGTACCTGAGGTCTATGTTAGGAGGGTTATCGTTTACGTCAGTGACATTGATGGTAACCGTTGCCCGAGCTGGTGTAGAGCTACCATCACTAGCCAGCACTGTCACTTTGTGGATAGCAGTCTCTTCTCGATCTAAGGACCTCTGAACTGTAATCAGCCCTGTAGTGTTGTTTAAAGCAAAAAATCTTTTGGTTGCAGGGGCGACTTGGGCACCAAAAATATATCTGATTTCTGCATTGCTGCCTATATCTGCATCTGTAGCATGAAGCTGAATTACAGAAGTGCCTACAGGGGCGTTCTCTGGTATATGAACCTCTACCTGACTCTCTTTAAACACTGGCCTGTTATCATTGACATCACTTACTGTGACTTGCAGGATGGCTGTGCTGGATTTCTGGGGGGTACCTCCATCCTCCACTTTGATTTTCATCACGTAAGTGTCCTTTTGCTCTCTGTCCAAGTTCTGCTGCACGATCAGCTGCGGCCATTTCTCTCCTTCTGGAGTTTCTACAATATCCAGTCCAAAGACACTCTGCCCGTTTAACAACTCGTAGTGCTGCACACCGTTGAAACCTGTGTCAGGATCTGTTGCTGATGGGATTGGAAAACGACTGTTGATCAGAGTGTTTTCTGGGATGGAGATATTGATGACAGGGGATGGAAACATAGGTGCATTGTCATTAGTATCCTTTACAATTATTTTTATTTTGATCAGCCTAAAAAAGTCATTGGGGAGAATCACCACTTCAAGTTCAAAAAAACACTCGTTTTCTTCTGCATAGGAAGCTCCAGCACAGAGTTTTTCTCTGTCTATTCTGTTGGATGTCGTAAAGATTTCCCCAGTGGTACTGGACACTTTGACCAGAGGGGCATCCCCTGCTTTAGACACCAGTCTGTAGACAAGGCTGGCACTGGTCCCTGTGGCAGCATTGATGTGAGAAATGTTCAGGTCCTTTGGTATGTTCCCTATGGGTACGTTTTCAGGCAGCTCCTCTCTAATAGTGTAAATAAGTTCTTGAGCTATAGCAGAATCCAGCCTTAAACAGGCAATCAAAGCGGCCAACAGGTAAAAATCCCTCAGGTCCATGATAATGTTTTTATTCTTTTTTCCCAGATTTTAGGACTTAAAGGTTTCCACAGAGGAATGATGCGCGATTTGCAAGAGGAGGCATGCATGGACTGCAGGATGCATTACATCTCATTTCTTATTTGGAGACAGCACTGTCAACACAACCACACAGAACAGCATTATTGGTTTTTTAGGCATGACAAATCCACAATCTCCAACTACTACTTGTTTTTGCAATACACACTTGCAGCAGTACATTTTCTTACTGCTCCCTTTTACAAGCAATCCCTCTGGACAAATGCACCAATATCCCGTCAGCTGCATTTGCACAGAGTGAGAATAGAAATAACTACTTGCAGGATAAAGGGTAGCTACCGTTTCAACATGTACTTTCTGAATAATTTCTTGGTAGACCGTGTAATCCGTAACGTTCATTCCCCCTCTACCCTCCTCCACCCAGTCATCTGGTGCAAGTAAAAAATCTTCCCGCACTACTTCTGGATTCTAACTGCTATGTCAGCTGCCAAATGTAATTTGTTGTTTGCTTCGACATATTTTTTTAGCTCTTGAAAAACAGATTTTTTTCTGCTCCTTGTGCCTTGCATCCCCCTCTATAGCTATGGTACTGGGAAAAAAACACCCGGACATGCCGCTGCTGCAGCAGTCGTCACTGGCTACTTCACATCCCTCTTAACTGATGAGACAATAACAGGACTTACAGTTTCTTACACTCTCAGCTCAACGTTTCCTCTCCAGATGTTGGATACTTCTCCTTCTGTTTAATAACCTTAAACTTTGTTTTTAAACACAGTCTAAATCAGAAGAATCAGGAGGCTGGAAATTCCAAACGCAACTTAGGAGCAGCCAGCATGTTTATGGGGGCGGGAGGGGCT